ATTATCCTTAATTTTAGGGTTTAAACGATTATTGAAGAAACTTTATTGAAATGGTAGATTCCGTTAACTCATTGACGATATGTTCCACTTTTAAGTTTGGATGAGGGTAGTGTATGTGTGGGACTCAACGCGTGGTGTTTAAATAATGCTCTGCTCCTTTCTCGATATTTAGATATTTACTTACCTACCTGCCTACATTATACATCCCGAAAATAAGGGAGACAAATATAAGGAAAATGTAACATTATATAATATATATATATGATTATAATGAGTTTTTAAATAAGTCATGTTTTTGAAAAAAAAAAAATAACGAGTATTTTATGGAAAATTTGACTGTAACATGCAATTTGGTAGACCCCGTATTAAGAGCAGCGTGACTTTCGAAGAATTCGTATATGTCATACCACGCAGTAAACCGTAATAAATGCAAGAACCCCTTTGCGTATGCACGTATGTACTTAATACTTTACATTGGCGCAGTCGTTTTTAACGAAATATCGCTGAACTTTTATACGTCCGCGCACATGTGTTTTATACGTTCTGGTAATTAAATTTAATTGAAGTATATAAAAAATATATATATATATAAAACTGATCGTATATCCGTGGCATCATTAAAAACGCGAGTACGTGTAGCTATCCTTAACCGCCACATTAATAGGGAAAAAAATGACGAGGGAGTATTATTATTGTACAGCCACAGTGGCCCACACATCAATGTCAACGTCACAAAAAACCACGTCAAATATCTAATTTACTGCTTTCGAGAACGTCATAATATATATTGTCAAGATTAAAAACCTGGAGTGCGGTGCCGCAGAATAGCGTTATGAATTTAATGGAATGACAAGTCTTTTTAGAGGAGTTGAGAAGGTTCAATGTGAAATAAGCTGAAAATTAGAAGATAAATGTGAATTGCACATTACTCCATTACAAGGAGAAGCCACGTATACAATATGACTTAAAGAAAATAAGAAAAATGAAATCGTATAACGAGAACGGGGAAACGCCTCGAATACATTTCATCAAGCAAGTGACAGAAAACATCGAAACAAGAATATACAGGGACCTGAAAAGAACTATAAGCGACGTTTAATCAATTTTAGGATTGAAAAAAAAAAAATAGTGAAAATCTAAAATCGAACGCCGTCAGTCGTTAAAATCTCGCGTTGGGAAGACAGAAATAAAAAGTGCCACGTCAGATAGTAGGTCATATTTCGAAGTAGACAATTTGCTTGGCGAAATGGTGTGTGATAATGTACCAAAACCATTAAAGAACCATATTATATTATACAAATTTATGGTACTTACAATGGAAGTTATTTGGGATATAAATCCTGAACAGACTGTTCGGAGAAAAGTTCCCGAAAGTGTATATATGGAGAGTAGCTCTATAAAACTCGTATGCTGCGAAAATTAAACCATTTACACGGAAGACAAATGTAGTTTTAGCAAATATTATTTATCAATATTTCACTACCATCGCGATTTATACAATATTATTGTATTATTCAGCTGACGATACGATTTATTAATATCGATAATTATCCAGCTTAACCGATGACTGCACGTGAAACCCAAATTAAGACAAATTCGTATGATTCCAATTAGAGATTTACACGGTTTGGTTTTCGTTTTTTCACGTGAAGAATTTTTGAGGAATACGTAGCGGTATTAATGTGATATTTGTATTAAGAGGAGACCATTGCCACATCTATTGTTTCCGTATGAAAAACGTTCAGTAGGATACATTTTTTACCATTAGTTTTAACATTGAAGTGAATACAATTAATTTAATTTGTTATAAGATTTAAAGTAAGAACATTAGCTGTGTTCCTAAGTCGGTATTTTTCAGATATTTTATTTTTAAAGCGATAACGAGTATGTAAAACATTAAAATATAAAAATCGTTACATCTTAATGAAAAAATTAAATCGTCGAAAAACCACTGAAGTAGGGCCACCGACTATGTCCGTAGATTCAAGTTTGATAATAAGCCAGTTCTCTCTAGTATTAAAACTTACGGCACAAAATCCGTTCTACCGAACGACATTTTTCCCACATTGTATCGCATTTGTAAAACCCATGCAGCGCACGGACAGGTGTGGTGTCCTCTTAATACGTATAAAAGTACCAACGTAAATTTTAATAATCGGCTGCGGTGACACAAAAAATCGATACCACTCGCAAATAGCCACCTACCTAATAATAGTATGGGGTGATCGAAAAGAGAAAAAAAAAGGGAAACGAAGCTTGGGGACGTAATGAAACGATCCGGTCCAAACGATTCGCGGACGATCGGTGGTCGCGCAACGCTTTCTCCTCGATAATTCTAACGGACGGTTCGTAGGTATTTTTTTTCTTCTTTTTTCATTCCATCTCATCACGGCCGTTACGTGTAGAGTCGAGAATCGAGACCGTTGAATGTGCCGCTAATGGCTAAGGAAATCCTATCGTAGGTCTCGATATTACATTTCGGACGGCATAACTTTAAGACACCCGCCGCCCTTATCCCTACACCCTTGCTCCTCGACGGGGAAGGACGATTCGGGAATTTTCAACCCGTAACGAGAGAGGGGTACCACGTGCATCGGATGTATATATATATATATACCGTAAAGGCTAGCCGATAGTATTCAATAATATAATGTATGGGGTTTTTTCTTTTTTTCTCTATTCCGAGGGCGCCGCCGTTCGAAATATTTCGTTAATAGTTTCTTTTATTCGCGGGTTTTCCTCACTTTATAAATCTTTATATATTTTTTTTTCGGTCAAACGCCGCGGGTCACGTGAAAAAAAAAATCGTATTCGAGACGGTTTTTTATTTTTCGTTGTATTTACACTCGTATATAATCACTCACCCTCCTTACTTCTCCATCCCATGGATTTTTTTTTTGGTTTATAAATATTATTTTTTTTTTGCGAAACTGCAGTTCAAACAACTATAATAATTGCAATAACAATACTTGATAAATCAACACGATTCCGTTTTCGAGTGATATATGTTGATATATATATATATATAAAGCGTAATGAGATCATAAACAATAAACGACGGCGATGTCCTGTTTAGGTCTATTGTCGTGTCGATATATTCGACTACCCTTACAAAATTCGGATTTATTATAGCAGGTGCCTTAATTATAATATTGTTTCGACAGGAAATCGTTTAATTTGAATTCTAATATAATATTTTCACAAACTACAGTTCGGTATTATAGTTTTATTACGTATAGGTATTGCATAAAGCTGTGCGATGCTCGTTCGACTGCCAATTCGTTTCAAGTATTTGTTTTTTATTGAAAATACTACATTTTATTTTGCTTTAGCTACATTTATTGGAAAATTTTTGTTTTTCATTTTCTTTATTATTCAAATATTTTTACAGAAGTTTGTGGCTTTAGGGCAAATTTTAAAGTTGTGTATCTAAAATTCAAATTTAAAATTTTATTATGACATTTGTACCCGATACTAAGACTTTTGTTTAACAATAAGTTATTAAGTATTTTATCTTTGGTTCCAGTGCAGAAGGGCTTAAGGTTTATTTTACTTTAAAATCTGTTGGGTAATCAATACCATTCCTGTAGAATAAATCTAATAAATCACCTTTTATTATAATATTATTATATATTTAACATAAAGCGATAGATGAATAAAAACAATAAAATAAAACAACGGAATTGAGTGCTTTCTGCTTTATTATTTATGATCGTAGTTTAGAATTCGACAAAATGAAAATATCGTTATATGTAATTAAATACTGGATTTATATTCACTAGAGGCCTTTTAAATACACTAAAAATATAAAAATAATAGAAGAGTTCAAAAGTTCTACCTCTAATAGCTTTAACTTATTAAACTAATTTTTTTAACATGGTTAAAACGATTAACATGAAGCAATTTTGTTTAAAACACAATGGTATGTATTTTTTGTATTTTTCCTGTGTTATACAATTGTATTTAATAAGTTAAAGTCCTTAGAAAGAGTCACTCCCTCTGATATTTGTACGATCTTAAATATTTTTCAAGGGCTTCATTGTCGTTTTAAACGTTTTTTTGTGGATTTTAAGTTCGGTCTCTAAATCCGGTCTCTACGTATAAAATATATTATGTTTTTTATTGTAATGGTCAAAAAAAAATTAGCTAACCTATTAAATTTGTTTGTGGTTTTTTTTTGTTTCTTCAAAATGTTAACATGAATAGTATTTTGTCAGCCACATGTTGCCGAAAAATTTATCTCCAGATAGTAAAAATATATTTTATTAAGATTTATAAAATATTATTTTTATAATTAATTTATAGTTAATCTAAATAATAATATTTAGAAAATATTTATAAAATAACGAATGGTCATGAGATTTTCGTTTATTAAATATTTTAAAAATTATATTCTTCAAATATTTTTTTTCACATAAGGAAAAATGCAAAAAAAAAAAAAAAACGGAATCTCGTAACTTGCTACAGTCTGGTATTGGACCCGAGACCTTGCCTAATATCTTACCTGATGCTCTGTCCACTAGACTATCTACCTAATTATTGAGAAATTGATTTTATAACTATAAAAGTAAGTTCCAAAATATTATATTATACCTAATATATCCAGCTAAATGTAAACTCCTTCATAGTCTTTTTTTACCTGCCATAAATAGATGGTGTAATCACCTATCCAGACCTTTTTATATTTTAGATTCTGAGTGCAACGAGGAAAGTATATGATTTCATTATTTTAAAAAAACATGCACGACGTTTTAAACCAGAAGTAGTTCTCTTGTGGAAAAATGATAAGAGACCTTTTTTATTGCATTTTGGATAAATATTTCCACAGACTTAAGAATGTAAGATAATAAAATGAAAAATAAGATTTAGTAAACATCGTAGGGCATCGGATCGGAAATTCTCAAACATTTCGATAACGTCAACGTTATTTCCGTAAATTGGAAATATAACAATCTCTACCTCTTATTTATGTAGTTTATGATTTATTTTTACTTAAAATACCTTATTTTACTTTTTTTAACTTTATAACTATCTAGTGTAGGAGTGAACATTATGTCAATATAGATTACCTAATTTTGTAGGAGTTGATCATCCCTCTATTATCCTATCTATACGGTAATATCTCGAAATTGCGTACGTTTTGGTAATAGGAACTTAAACCTCCTCTGAATAGTACACACCATTGCCAGGCGGATGATGTAGGGTTGGTGGGGATCTTGTCCCCTTCTTTTTTGTTTACTAGTTATGATTTATTAGAGATGATAAGTAAATCTCGGTCGGTCCGTTGTGGTCTTGGCGTACTTTTAATCGTAATAATATTTATTTATACTCAAAATTTTTTCCGATTTGGCGATTTCTAAAATGGATAATCAATTGGGCGTTAGTAACGGTTGTGTTTATACTAGGAAAAACCTAATATTTCTATTATTACATAGATTGTTTATACAGCTGTGGACATATATTGGGACAAACCCGATAATATACTGCTAGGTTCCAACGAATAAAATATAAATCTATACTATTATATATTATTATCTCATGTTTATGGCAGAGTGTCACATAGAAATGTAGAATTATTTTTGAATCGTAATATAATTATGTAAACTTTAACATTATTATGTTCATATATTCAGAATTTTGTTTTTATTATTTCATCAATGATGCCATATTATTAATGTATTCAAAATATCATTTTAACAATTCGTATTATAATTAATAATATAATAATACATTCAGAATATTGTTTAAATATTTAATTTATGATGTTATGTTAATAATATATTCACATTATTATTTAACAAAATATTTATTTAATAATATAATTTTTTTGATAAAAAATTAATATTAATATAATATTATCATTACGGTTATGGGTATCTGGGTCATTGTGTTTTTTACGTTCAGAAAGACGAAAAATAATAAAATAGACCATTATTATTATCATCGATCGCATGAATTATGCCCCGCGAGTAGTGGACGCATGTTTATCAGTTTAATCCTCCTTTTTTAAAAAAGATTGACCGAGAAAAGAATCAGAAAAACAAAAGAAAAGAAAGGAAAATATCGATTAAATGGAAATTGAATCGCGTAGAAAATGATGAAACATTAATCATTTTTCCTTATTATAAATATTAAGTTCGCTCAAATATGTTCTACACATGAATTGAAATAACGACAATATTATTATTATTACAATAAATTCTTGATATTAATTCACTTGCAACTTATTTATTATGCGCGGACAGATTGGCTGTTGTTTTATCACCCTTCCAATTATGCCTAACCGTATAGTGAATTTATCGAAACGTAACAGTCAGTGGTGCGAACGGAAATCCTACCAAACAGCTGCTTTATGACCATATTTTGGTGTGTATGCGGGACATACATGTACGTTAACGAAAAGGTTAAGTACATAAACGTCTATAATGAAGCTCCCTGTTTCACGTGAACACGACTTCACGTATTCGCGTGACATTAACATTTTAATCTGTAAAACCGCGTGTACTTAAAATATCTGTATACAAGTATACTCACGTATCTTATGTTATTTTTAAAGTATTTTCATTGCGTATTCTCGTAAATACCACTGTTATACGTGAACACTGAACACGGATAGTAATCTTACTGGTATTAAGTTAACGCGAATACACATTTTTAATTTATCTGTACGCGGACTCCGGTTTTACGTACTTATTTATTTACGTTTTCAATCGAGACGTCTGTAGTCTATACTCTATATAGTAGCCTTAGCACCTGGATCACCCCGAATCAACATCAATAACAGTCGAGCAACTTTTGGATTTCGATTGATTTGAACTACATGTATACGTGTACGTATTGAAAAAAAACAAAATTATACTTCTAAATACAATCGCGTAAGATATTTTATGTACTGATCATCGGACGTACAATTATAAAACTATGCGTCAATTCAATTCGAATTCTTTGTACGTAGGTGAGACTAAAACTCGACTTTTAGCTTTTGAAAACTCGTGCATAAAATGCGCATAAGAAATAATAATGTAGCGTTTGTTTGTGATCCAATAACAAGGATCATTTGAGGTTGGAATTATTATGTATAAAGTCTCTTAAAACAAATCTCTTTATTTTCGAAAAGCATATAGAATTTCAACGGTCTTGTTTATGTATAAGTGCACAATATATCATCATTATTATTATTATCATTATTATTATACTTGACGCGTATATATATGTTAAGTTTGTTTGTGTTGTTGTTATTAGTCGACCGAGCGAATGCAGAGAGACGGTTTTGTTTTACATTACACTGCCTTTATCGCGTATCGTCGTCGGAAGTTTGACGGCGTGGTACGTTTAAGTATCGAATTTATCGTTATTTTATATATATGATATATATATTTGGATAACAAAGAGACGACAAAATTCAATACACGTCTAGTTTTGTTAAAAATGCAATATTAGAATGTATTCAGAATCCCTTTTCGGACATTTGTGTAAAAGGTATTCGAATTATTTGTTATTATTTTTTTATTTTTAAATTATTTATATATAAATACCAATATTTGTTCGAAATACTAAAAATAATTAAAAAATACTTCCTTTTTTTTCTCGGTACATTGGATAATACCACGCAGGATTTTGGTGTTCAGAAAACTTGTTCATGGATGTTTGATTTAAATAAGTTCAAGAATTTCGGAATTTATATATTAGCATATCGTGCAATATTATATTAGTAAACGAACTTATTAAGTTGGCTTTATAGCTTGATTGATTATAATATAATATTGAGTTACTAAGTTATTACAATCCCTTTTTGGGGAAATTGTATCATAAATTCTTAGCAACATTATAGAATATTATTTCAGAAACAATACACATTTATAATCTTAAAATACGAAAATATTGTAATATAATAGTAACTAGAAAAAAAGTATTTATTGAGTATTAAAAATATGGATGTTACAAAGTGTTTCTAAAATACTTATTATAAATACCAAACAAGTATTTGAATATTTAACAAGACTTATATGTATTTATGTATTCATTGTAATTGATAATATGCGATCGAAAATTTAAAAAAAATAAAAAATGGAAATTATTTTATTATTATTAATTTAATAAAATAAATATTTGATTAAAAACTTCAACTAATATTATGAATTTGTTTGCCGATATTTATTGAAACATTTTTTTGCAACTCTCGGTTCGTCTATTTAAAAATGCCTCTAAAAATGTATGAAATTCTAAAATATTCGTTATAGTTCCGAAAGCACAAAATTATATTAAAGAAAATGTTGTACACAGAATTGTTAAATAGTGAAACAAATTTTAATACAAACTAAAGTCACCCAACCTAACATAACCTGGCTCATACAAATACCCAAAAGCATACCAGTATCTGCTCTATTATCAAATATTACAAGTCTACTAAAAATAACGAAATTTCGTTGTGTAATGTAGTTGGTAAAAAAAAAAAAAAAACTTATTTTTCATCGTTCACTTGTCAGTCATTGAATTTTTAGGCAAACACACTCCGCCTCTCATCCTACCTTATAAACCTCACACACCGTGTTGACGACGACGCGATGTGACGACGACAATCAGTCATTGCCATCCTTTTCCGATGTCGCCACTATTCGTGGCGGCAAAACAGTGCTGATGGAAAAACACCGCGTGCGTAGCTATGCGTGTTATTAAATCAATATGAATGACGAACAGCAACGGTGGCGGCACACGAGGATTTTCGAGTTTGCATCCAAATGGAAAATAGACAACTACTATACTACTGCTATTACTACTATAACTACACGACGTTAAACCAACAAAACCGTTGCTCATAAATCAGCGTTCGTAAATCCCGGTGCAGTAATGGCGGTGGCGGATGGCGCCAATAAAACGGAAAATAAAAATGATTTGTAATTTTTACCATCACGCAATTGTTTTTTTTTTTTCATACACATAAACGTATATATATATTTACGTTGTTTAAATAATATATTCTGTTGATGTTTATTGCGAAAAGTCACAACTTTCTCTTTGATGGCAGTGTTTTCCAAACTTTTTGACAGTGTGGACTGGACCGTTTTCTAGAGACCGTCCGACGGACCACAGATTTAATGTTGAATTTTGTTTTTTTTTTGATTTGTTGATCACTTTTTTTTTTCTATTGTTCAACGAGATTTATATAGTTTTTTTATTGAAATTGTCTGTAATAATCTATAATGACTTAAACGATTTTTGAGCTAGGCGTTGTTCCTTAAATAAATTTGAAATTACATTTAAAATATGCTTGTTGTTATATTTTCTATTAAGAGCAGACTCGGAAATCTTTACTCTTATACATACATATTTTGTAGAAAACATGAAATATAACGTAAAGTAATTGAGCTAAATACGTGATATTGTTCAATATTTAATTACGCTGGATTTCATTTTCTAATTTTTTAAGGAAAAAAAAATAATAATCATTAGCGTGCCGTCAGAGAATCATTGTTTTAGGCGGAATATCGTGTTTTGTATACTATAATGCAATATATACGCGCACATAAAACAAATTGTCGGATATTACGGTCGATGACGAAGATAACTTGGTGTATTCTATATCATATTATAATATAACAATATTGTAATCTGCCATACACTAATACTCATATTTTGCCGTTTTACATACGCTATTGGCTGCCATTAGTTACGTTCCATGTTTGGTTTATTTTCTCGGTACAATTTTCAAACAGTTATTATATTTGCATGTATATAATATATAGATTTCTATGGTATTTATATTAATTATCTAAATTTAATCAAATCTAGAAATCGGATAGACGTGGGAACCGGGCAATTTTTCCGACACTGTGAAAGAACAAAATAATGATTAGATTATATCCACCTAAAATTAATACCTAATCTAAACAACGTGTCGGTCCTAATCCAATATTGGTTCAAGGAAGTTACGCGTCGTTCGTGCAAATAACTGCAAAAACTGGGTCGGCTTTAGATAAAACTGGAGAAGAAATCGGGATAAACTACGTTGGGTGTAAGTCATGGGGCTCTAACTGTCGGTATAGCCGATCGAGTTTTCGTTTGTTACCTTCGGATCCTTATCTCCAAGAAAAAGTACCCCGAGAAATGTATAACAATATTATACTCGACGCGCGTGTACGCAATAAAGGTATTAAACAAAGGGTCCGGGGAAAATGTCTTCGTTTACAACTACGGGCTCCGTTATCGTTGTTATCGATGCCAACGGTACTTCTACGGTCGGATATTCGTACTGGCTTATTTTATATTATTATTACGAGCTACTCACCGTGCCGTTACTACCACTAAGTCTCTCTCTCTTATTAATTACATTATTAAGTGGTCTTTAACTTTATTACTACTACGGAACGATATATAATAACGTCGTGATCCTCTTTGGACTATAGCCGTAATAATAACGATGCCGCAATAAAGAAAAAGATATTATTAATTATACTTGTCGCGTATCATACCAAATCTATGATAACAAATTGTCATCAAACTAGTTAGTTTCCAACGAGAA